CTTAAAAGGCAATGAACGAGACCAGCTGTGTAATTTGCTGGACACAAATGCCAAAGGAAAATGCTGACCTCCTTGTTAAAACATTACATAGAGCTCAAGGTGGTGACAACAAAGCATTAAGCCAAGCTGAGGCCCTCTGAGAGTTTGGCTCCGTGTGACTCCATAGGTCACAGGCATGTGAAGCTGGTCTGGCAATAGGGAATCCATATGGGGATTGGCAGAATATAATCACTGAGAGAAAATTTGGATACTTCTCTTTGAACATCTTTTTCCTTCCTCCTCTTCTTTTCTCAAATATATAAATAACTAAGATAATAAAGATGATATATGCTAGGGAAGTGGTTGGCATGGAAGGGATCTGGTGGCATGATATATTTAAGGACTGGCCCTCACTATTCATCTGTGCCTATTTAAATGGAAAAACTGATGTCTCTGGCCTCAAATCCTATGTCACAGTGTCTGCTCCATGACAGCTGGGTGAGTTTCCAAGCAACATTAATATTAAGGTTATCATCTTAAGCACAGTATTCCTAAAATCTTCTGTTTTCTTATAAACCTAGAGCCTTCAGCTCCATACCTTTCCTTCTCTTTGAGTCTGTCTGAATGCTGACTTCTTTGTGCTGTGAAAAAAGGAAACTGCTCTCTAGCTTATTGAAGACTATTCCTGGAGTCAAGGGAATAAGAAACCAATTTTGAAATCAATGTTGAGTTAGGTCTGCTGGGCCCCAATGAGTCATATCTACTGAAGCACAATTTCTATTGCAGAGACATTAACTCCCATCCCTGTTTCCATTAATTTTGAAGAGTCTTCTTGAGAGGCTGTGGGGTTACTAGGGAATTAGGCTCACTGTACTTCCTATACTCGGACTTTATAGCTGGAATGAATTTAGAGATAACTGATTATGCATTATAATCTTTTCATTTTATAAGTGAGAAATCTGAGGCTCAGATTTGTGATTTGTTCAAAATCAGTTAGCTAGACAGGGAGGAGTTGTGAGCCTCTAGGAAACCACTCCTACGGCATCCCAACATGCTCTGTTATTTCCCATCATAAGAAACAACTAACTAAACAAACAAAAAAATCCTTTCCCAGTTCTTCCTACTACATTTTCTCCAACATAGTGCTAATTTATGTAAAGAGGAGAAGCTCATTAAGATGAAAAGAAAAGCATATAATTTTAGCAATAGAAAATGACTAAGATCTTAGCAGTGTCAAATTTCTTTCCAACTTGTTTTGGAAGGATAGTTGTGAAAATTAAGAACATAAAAACCTTTTTCCTTCTAATAGTGAAATATAATGTCCTTTCATTTGGAAGAGAGAAGAATTTAAGAAAAATCAGTCATTGTTTCAGGTCTTCAGTCATATTTTATTTTAGGTAAAGCTGACCACAGAGTGAATTTCTGTAAATAAAGTCATGCGGTTTTCAACAGTTTTCAGTAAAAAATTGCATTTTTGTTTTGTGAACCCGAGATAAAGGAAATCACATGAAATATTAAAGCAATTATTTAAAATGATACATTTGAAAGCAACAACCTTAGAACAAATATTAAAAATATGAATTTTACTTGTATTAGAAACTTCATCTGCAACTCTTACCCTGGACAAAAATATGCCTAGGGATGTCTTTATCTATAGAGAGAATCTCATATAATTGAAATGTCTATGGCCAAGTAAAGTTTGATGCTTCATGATAACTTTTTAACATTTGAAATTTCTGTATATTTTTAAATAAAACTTTTATTTTAGATAGATTTGGCTTTATAGGAAAATTACAAAGATAGTACAGAGTTCTCATATACTCCCCACCCAGGCTCCCTATTGTTAACATCCTACGTGAGTATAATTAATTGAACCAATAATGATACATTATTATTAACTAAACCCTACACTTTATTTAGATTTGCTTAATTTTTTCTAACTCCCCTTTTTTTTGTTCCAGAGTCCTGTATTAGGTTAGCACATTAAATGTAGTTGTGTATCTCGGTACGCCCCTCTTGACTGTGACTGTTTCTCAGACTTTACATGTTTTTGATGATCTTGCCAGTTTTGAGGAGCACCAATTAGATATTTTGTAGAAGGTCTCTTGATGAGATTTTTCTGATGTTTTTCTCAGGATTAGACTGACTTTGTGTGTTTTGGGAAGGAAAAATGTCCTTCTGAGTTTATGTGTTTTGGGGAGGAAAAGTGCCCTTCTCATCACATTATACCAAGGGTACATGCTATCAATATAACTCATCATCGTTGATATTAACTTTGATCACTTGGCTGAGGTGTAGTGTTTGCCAGGTTTTTACCAGAGAGTTATTCCCCTGTGGTTTCCATGCTGCGCTCTTTGGAAGGAAGTCACCACGTACAGTCCACAATTGAGTGGGGAGTGGTGTTCCATCTACTTGAGGGATGATTATCTATGTAAATTAGTTGGAATTTCTCTGGTGTGAGAGATTTGTCTATTCTCCCACATTTATTTGTTTATGATATATTTTGTCAGGATAGACTCATGGTTATATACATATATTTTATTTTTGATTGTAATTCCACACCCTTTATTTTGTTGCTCAAAGTGTTTTTAGTTTTGGCCTTTGAGAACTCTTTCAGTTGTATTTATGCATATTTTAATTGATAATTTTCAAAAACACATACGAATCACTTCTAAGAGACACCAGAATATATCTTACATTTAGCATAAATCTATTACCTTGAAATAAAATAGAGGTCAGTAACATTTTCAAGTGGGTCAATTTTCTGTGGTTGTACCAGGTAAAGAGTAAATTTAATATTCAGACATTCAACACATGGTACCTATTACCTCAAGGCACTCTGCTAGGTGCTGTGGGAGATTCGAGGATGATTCACACTGTCTTCAGCCTTTGTCAGCCTCCAAGCCAGTAGGTTAATTAAGGCATTACTTATATAACTACAGTACAGAAATCAGGAATCATAAGAGAGTTGTAGATAAAGGGCTGTGGAAATAAAGGGAGGATGTTTGAAAGCATCCTGAATATTTGGTGTATGAGCTAAACCTTAAAGAACAGTAAAGATTCAGATGTGATGAGATGGGGGAGGATGGCATGTGCGCAGAACACAGTGAGGAGGACTTGGAGGTGGGAGAAGAAAGGCCACTATGGGAGAAGTCAGGTGGTTCAGTTTGACTGGAATTACTGTTTTCTTTTGGTGTGAATTTACAGATAATATATTTAGTTTAAGTGAGTGGCTGTACTTTTACAGATGGAGTTCAAATTTAGCTTTTAACTATTGTTTTGTTTTTAAATGGGAAAAAAAGCTATTCTGACTTTAAGACGTGTTAATAAGAATATGGATATCACTCTTGGTTCTCTGCTTAATGCCTTATTTCGTTAATACCCTCTTTCGGAATCCCAGTGTTGTTGAAATTTTGCAGTTTAAATTTTTATTTCTATTTTGTTTGCAAAGGAGACTTTTACATTCAATCTTAAACTTGTATTTATTATTCAAAGGATTTTAAAGTGTCATTAAGCTGGTATTGAGAAGGTACTTTCAGTATGAAGATGGTTGAGAACAAAAGTTAATGAGTTTGGGATGAAAAAAATAAAATATTTTTATTCCTTTTTTCTGGTTTTTAAAAAGAAGCCTTGGTTTTTTAAAGTTATGTTTGTTGAGGTATAATTTGTGTACAGTAAAATTTACCCCTTTTAGGTGTAAATTTCAGTGAGTCTTGGCAAATGCACTTAATTCTGTAATCACCATTACAGTTAAGACAGATAGTACATTTGTCTCTCTGAAAAGTTTTCTGGTCCCTTTTGTTGTCATTGCCTTCTCCTACTGCCAGCCCAGGTGACCTGTGATTTGGGTTCTGTCTTTGTCTTTTCCAGAATGTCATAAATAGATGATATAGTATGTAGCCATTTGTGTCTGGGTTCTTTTACTTAACCTAATGCTTTGAGGTTCATCCTTGTGGATGCATGTATTAGTAATTTATTCCTTTTTATCACTGAAATATTCCATTTTATGTGCTTATCTTTTCACCAGTTGATGGACAGTTGGAATGTTCCCAGCTTTTGGCAGTTGTGTAAAAGCTGCTATAAACATTCATGTGCAGGCCTTTGCATGGACATATGTTTTCTTTTTTCTCTGGTAAATACCTAGAAGTGTGATTGTTGTGTCATATAGTAAATGTTTGTATAACTCTGTAAGAAACTGCCAAACTGTTTTCCACAGTGGCTGTACCCTTTTGTATTCTCACCAGCAGTGTATGAGGGTTTAGTTCCACCACATTCTCACCAATGCTAGGTATGGTCAGTCTTTAATTTTAGCCCTTCTAATACGCTTTTAATTGTATCTCATTGTAGTTTTACTTGTAATTTCTTAATGACTTAATGATAGTAAACATTTTTTTTCCATGTCCTTATTGACCATCTTTATCTCTTTGGCAAAGTAACTGTCAAATCTCCCCTCATGTCACCCTGTCAAGCTTTTAAAAAAAGTTTGGATGGTTTGTCTTCTTATTGATTGGATTGTAAGAGTTCTTCATATATTCTAGATACAAGCACCTTGTCAGATACTGTTTTACAATTTTTTCTTCCCCATCTGAGGCTTTTTATTTTATTTACAGTGTATTTCAAAGAGCAAAGGTTTTTGGTTTGATGAAGTCCAGTTTGTATTGTTTCTTTTATGGTTCACACTTTTTGAGAGACGAGATTGGGTGCATTCAGGGTGGTATGGCAGTAGACAGTTCACACTTTTTGTATCCTATCTAAGAGTTCTTTCCCTAACCCAAGGGGATTACAAAGATTTTCTCCTTTTTCTTCTAGAAGCTTTATACTTTTAGGCTTAGGAGTTGCATTTAGGCCTGGGGTTAATTTTTAAGTTAATTTTGTTTAATATGGAGCAAAGTTATTGTTTTAATTTAAAAATGTTTTTAGAATTCCAAGACTTTATATTCAAATGCAAAATCCAAACTAGATATCTGAATTTTTTATTGTCTTATATACATTGTCCTGTTTTATTCTGTTAATGCATCTAGGAGAGAGTTAACTGTAATAGATGGATTGAGAGACTCCTTAAGAGGTAAGTTTCTCTGTTTCCCCTTTCTCATGTATTCTTCTTCCACACTATAATGAACATCAGTGAGACTTTCTTTGTAATATTGTTTCCAGTTTTTATCTGCAGCCTTTTTCAAAAGACTGGGAGGCTCTAGAGAGGATCTAGTAAGATAAATGAAAATAAGTAGGGAGGGATAATAGGGCTATGTGGAAAACTGGAGGAAATAGTAAAGATAGTAAGCAGGTAAGTGAGGGAGTGAAGCATGTACTTTGAAAGGTGTGGCTTGAATATACAGGAAAAATTAGGGAGGATGAATGACTGGTTCAGAGCGGCCATATTGAGGAAGTGGGTGGATAGTGTTGATTTTTAGAGTTCACAGGTGGAAGAAAAGAAGGCTAAAGGATGGGGAAGGACCCACAGAACAAAGTAACCATTCAAGAGAATGTGCTCCTGATGAAATAACCCTAAATGATGAGAATTGGGAAGGACATAGGGAAAGAAAATCAGGCATTAAAGATAATTCCAACATTTAGAGTCTTGTAGACAGGGAAAATAGTACATCCCAGGGAAATAGGGGAGTTTGGGATGAAAATCCACTGGAAGATGATAAAGACAGTGGTTTTTAAACTGTGTGCTTTTGCAAAAGATAGCAATTGATCCTATCCAAGTTGCTCTTTGGAAATATAATCCTGAGTTTGGGTTAGAGTCCTAAGGATCATTATAGAAATGAAAGCTACAAATAAGATTAGTCTCTCCAAGGACAAGAAAAGTGAAAGAAGAAAAGTAAGACAAGGATTTATCTTATGAAGACTCATACAGTTAAACATTTCAAATTAAAGGGCAGATAAGAAACAACTGAAGGATACAGAGAAAGAGTGTCCAAAGAACTAGTTGAGGACACAGAAGAGGTAGCATGTAAACAGATGAAGAAGCTTCAGGAAGGACCTCGTTATCCTCTAGAAGTAGAGCATAGAGATCAAGCCAAATAAACATACAGAAAAAGCTACTATATTTTCTTAGAAAAAGTCATTGGTGATCTTGAAGAACAGTGGGGAAGAAAGAAAAAATACAGTAGCCCTCCTTATCTGAGGTTTCACATTCTGAGGTTTCAGTTACCCACAGTCTACCGTGGTTGTAAAATACGTGAGTACAGTACAGTAAGATATTTTGAGAGAGAGAGGGACAGAGAGACCATGTTCACATAACTTTTATTACCATATATTGCTATAATTGTTCTATTTGATTATAAGTTATTGTTGTTAATCTCTTACTGTGCCTGATTTATAAATTACGCTTTATCATGTTTGTATCAGGTATGTTGTATATACAGGAAAAATCATAGTATATATTGATTATATTGGGTTTGTTACTATCTGTGGTTTCAGGCACAGATGCCTGAAAGTCATCTGAAAGTAATCTGAAAGGGAGTAGGAACATATTCCTCAAGGATAAGAGGGGGATTACTGTACAAGAGAAAGGGAACATGGACACTGTCTCTTAGCAGTGTTCTCCAACTTGTGTACTCTGACAGTTATTAGTAATGCTACAAAATTTTATACTGTTTACAAAAGTTGAATGAACTTAAAAACATTTCTTTACTAAAAAAGTGTAAAATGTTGTTGTTGTTGTTGTTGTTGTTTTTCCAATACTTTCCACCCTTCACTATGCTAATGTGAACTACTAAGCCCTAAAGAGGGGAACTATAGTATGCCACTGTTTCCTACTTACTAGGCTTTGCATCCCTTTCCTTTCTTTTACTTACAGAATGTCTTCTTGGAGAGGACATTCCAACAAGGGAAGAGAGAACTAATGTGAGTAAAGTTTATCCTGTGTATTAATTCTGACATGAGAAGTATTGTGGATAAAAGTAAAGTAGAGAAAGGAGATACATGTGTTGAAGTGGTCAATTGTAAGGGTGGTCAGGGAGAGAGGACATATTAAAGACTTAAAGGAGGTGAGGAAGCAAACCATGCTTTCCTCTGGGGGAATCACATTCCATGTGCAAAGTTGCTGAGGTTAGAGCAGCCTGGTGTGTATGCAAGGCAGGAAGGATAGTAAGGTTGAGGTGGGAGTGGGAGGAGATGTGGTCAGAGGTTTGTGTCTGAGTTTGTTTCTGGCAGCACTTGAACAGAGTGCAGTTCCTAGCACTGGGGCATTGACTTGAGATTGTATAGAGTTGGTTTCTGCTTTTGTGTTTCCCATCAGTGACAGCACGTTAGCATCTGTTGTTGCTCCTTCCCACTACTTTGGCCAATGGCTCATTGACACAGGAGGAACCCTGGCCAGAGTAGTTTCTCATCTGACCCGTTCTGGAAGAGCAAAGCATGATTCTGTGTGACTTTGGAGAAACAAGAAGATAAGTAGAGCATACTACAGATTGGCTAAGGATCTCTTAAAAAGGAGAAAGTTGTTGAGTTTCATCCAGGAGTCTGGGGGCAATAAAGGAAGAGTGTAAAGATCTTTGGGGGTGGGGAGATGGGAGAGAGGAGATGGAAAACAGTCATCCCCCTAGGTTTATGGGTTTCACACCAAATAATCAAATATGGATTTGTTGGAGATCTTTCTGCTGGGGATTCTCTCAGATGTGATTTATAAAATTAGATATCCTTGGTGATTTATAGCTCTTCTCTCTTTGAAGCTTTCTTCATATATGTAATTTTAGGAAATTGTCTATTATATTTAACAGCAGAGGGTCATTTTATATCCTGTCTCACTCTTAGGAAATAAGTGTCCTCTAAGTAGGTCTTAATTTTTTTCCCTAATAATATGTAAAACATTCAAATCTCTGGAATTTATTTTTTAATGAATAAACTTTAGTTTTTGAGCAGTTTAGGTTCACATCACACCTGAGTGGAAAACAGATGGTTCCTACATACCCCTCTCCCCACACAGGCATAGCCTCCCTCACTATCAACATCTCACACTAGAATGATACATTTGTTAAAATCAATGTGAAATTTATTTTTTAATCAGATGGAATGAGAAGTGAAAAATCAGTATCCTTTTGAGGCGGATGTGATTTGGAATGGACCTGTTCCCTCTTGGTATTTTTTTAAAGCCTGGTTTTTTTATCCCTTACATCTGAACTTATTAGTAATTTTTAAGTACATGTATGTCTTACATGATAAGTTATTTCTGCATGAAATATTACTTTCAAGGGCAGGTATGAGGTCTACTGTGATATTAGCTAATTTACAGATGAATAATTTTAGCAAAGGATTCACACAGCCCTGAGTTGAAGGAGATTCCAGATTCTCATTTGCCACATGGGCCTCTGGAAGTTCTACTGCAGTGAGGGATTATTGTGGCAGCTGGTGAGTCGGAGGCTAGTTCCAAGGGGTACATGAAGAGTGAATACACTAAAATCCTAGTGATGCAGGACAGGAGAGCCCCAAAGTGGGGCTTAGCCTGTGAGGGTTCTTAGCTTCACCCAAGAAATAATTCAAGGGTGAGCTGGAGTTAGGGTAGAAGAAAACGGCTTTATTGAAGCGACAGTGTTACTGCTCCGTGACTGCTCCTGCAGAGTAGGGCTACCCCATAGGGAGTGTGCTGCAAGCAACAGCACAGGGCAGCTTTGCAGTCATATTTATACCTATTTTTAATTCCATTAGATTAAGGGGCAGTTGATGCAGAAGTCTCTAGGAAAAGAGTGGTAGCTTTTGGGTCACTGGGTCATTGCCATGGAAAGGGGTGGTAACTCCCAGGTGTTGCCATGGCAATGGTAAACTGACATGGCACGCTGGTGGGCATGTCTAATGGGAAGCTGCTTCTGCCCTGTCCCTGTTTTTGCTAGTCCTCAATTTGATCTGGTATTCAATCCCACCTCTAGAGTTGAGTCCTGCCTCCTCCCTCACTAGTGTAAATATAAACAAAGCATGAAGTTCTTACGCAGATAGCTATTTAGGAGGAATTGTGTGTATGTGTATAAAATATTTCACAGTATATTAACAAATGATGCTTAAATTAGCTCAATGAACCCAGACACATTTTCTCCAGATACATTTTCTTCCTTTGGTTATTCATCTTTTGAATTCATCTGAGAAAATGCTTTTTATTTATATTTTATAGTCTGATTTCTGTAATCATAGATTTTTTTAAAGCAGAAAAAATGAGGGTGGACACAGAAGGCATGAGAACAGGGTCCGTTTACAGCTATAAGGACACAAAGCGAAGCAGAAATTTGTCAATTTGTATTAATTTATTTAGTGTATTCATTTAGAAAACTTCGATTAATCATCTATGTCAGCCACTGCACTTGGGGCTAGACACATGAGAGTGAATAACTCACAGTCTCTACCTTCAAGGAAGGGGAATGCATAGAGATGCCTTGACAGAAAACATCTCCCCTGCCTTTTTTTCTCCCTTCCGTCTTTCTTTTCTCTCCTCCTCGTTGGGGTAGAAAAAATAATAGTAATCTAGCCTGAAATAGTTTATACACAATATGCTGTTTCTCTTCCAACTTGATTTAACCGTTACAGTTAATTCCAGTGTAATAAAAATGATTCTTAGAAATGTTACAGTTGGTGTTTTTCAAAGCTATTTGATATTATACAGTCTATTTCTTTTCCTTAGCCTGTAATTTGTCATCATGCTCTCCTGTAACCTAGAAAAGCTATTGGCATTTAAGGTCTTTACTTATTAAATACCTTTCATGAGCCGACTTGGTTTATTAACCTGGATTTTTTTCTATCTATATTTTAGGTAGTTTAAAATCCTTTCCTTCAACTAAGTTTTGAGTTTTATAATCATTCTTGTTTGGCTTTTCTCACCTTTTGCAAATTTGTATGCTTCTCTTGGGAACTGAAGCTTGCAGGTGATGTGCCATTAATCTTGCGTCTTTTTTCTCTTTGATGACATCTTTTCTTCAAGCCTAAATAATTATGATTATTTTGGCCACCATGTTGCCTTATCAACATGATTATTTTATTCAGCCTTCTCACATATATGTTCCCTCTGGCAAGACTTCCCTCCACCAAGTTTTTCTCTTTCTGAAATAAATAAATAAATGATTCCAAGCACTTTTCCAGGAAAATATGCTCATTTGCATTTTATCGAATGGCATTTTATTTTCTTCCAATATTAGTACTGCCCTTGACTCCTTTTTATAGTTTTTCTTACACGCCCTGGATTTAGAACTCAAATTATTATCAGTGGCTCAGTAAATGTTAGCTAATGCTTTTTAAAACTTTAAGATGCATATCCCTTGGATTTGGAGATTTTTACATTAACTTTAAAATAAGGAGTTATTTTTGGGTGCATTAATAAAACCTCTGAGGCATTATCTTTCCTTACTCTTCAACTGTGTTAGTTTTTATTTGACATATGATGAGATTCAAGAAGAAACTTAAATTTGAGAGAAGGATTGACAATTTTAAAACATCCAGTTGAGGAAACAACAGGGCCACAGTAATATCATACGTTTGCATTTGTATACATTCACACTAGCTTTTTTTTTTTCATCTTTTATCCTGAAGTGTGTTATTTCTCTATATTGTAATGATGAGAAACCTCAGATCCAGAGAAGCATGGCACCTGGTATGGAGTGCATATTCAGCCACAGCTGCAAGAAGAGGGGGAAGACATGCTAGGCTTACATAATCAGTGTTACCCACATAGTCAAGGTAAAACTATGCTGGAGTGATTGATTTACTCAGTGAATAAGCATTTAGATCTCTTCTGTGAACCTGTCGGCTCACTGAGGTCTGTGCTGGCCACATTGTTCATCATTATATTTCAGATTTAGTGATACAGGGACTGAAATATAATAGGACTCTCTTACCTATTTATTGAATCAATCAATCAACAGGAGGCAGCAGCTAAATGGAAGGAAGAGGTCAGAAGGGCTGCAGATGTGCTACTGTCAGAATATTTTGTGTACCAACTTCAGATAGTAGAACAATAAAATGACTTTTTATTACTTTTTGCCATAAACTTGTTATCCTAGCAAGGATAGCAATTTTTTTGTGTGTAAAGACAGAGTGTAAATATTTTAGGCTTTGTGGGCCACATATGGTCACTGTTACTTTTTTTTTTTTTAACATCTTAAAAATATAAAACCTGTTCTTAGCATACAAAAATATGTTCAGGCAATACAAAAACAGGCCTGGCCGGGCATGGTGACTCAAGCCTGTAATCCCAGCACTTTGGGAGGCTGAGGCAGGCAGATCACTTGAGGTCAGGAGTTTGAGACCAGCCTGGCCAACATGGTAAAATTCCGTCTCTACTAAAAATACAAAAAGTAGCCAGGCATGGTGGCACATGCCTGTAATCCCAGCTATTCAGGAGGCTGAGGAAGGAGAATCGCTTGAACCCGGGAGATGTAGGTTGCAATGAGCAGAGATTGCGACACTGCACTCCAACCTGGGTGACAGAGTGAGACTCCATCACAAAATAAATAAATAAATAATCAATAAATAAAATGAATATACTAAATCAGGCCTGAACTGGAGTGGGCTTGTGGTCTGTAGTTTCTCTGCTGTAGAATAAAATAATTAGAAAATTATCCTTGGAGTTCACGTTATGCTTTGTTTCACCTGTGACTATATTATAACCAGTTCCTTGAGATCTTTCTTTAACTAACATCATTTATATAATCCTCCCAGACTCTTTATTTCAGGGGTACATAGTAATCGGGCTCTGCTTCCCCTTTTTTTCTACAACTTTATTGAGATATAATTTATAATGTTCTTACTCAGGTTTTGATGTTGGGTTATACTGGCCTTGTAAAACTAGTTGAGCAGTGTTTCTTAGTCTTTTGTTTTCTGTAGTATTTGTGTTAGACTGGTTTTCTTCCTTGAATCTTTGTTAGAAT